CAGTGTAGGGTTGAGGGGACCTCCCTCAAACAAGTATGCCCAGGCCAGTAGCCCATGCCCTTTCTGTAAGCAGACTCCTGGGCTCCTTTCTGGGATAACCTCCATCCTCCAAGGTGGCTGTGGAGGAACAATCTCCACCAGGGACAGCTGTCTCTGAGACTGCCCTTCCCCTTGGGGAAGCCCACTAGCCATTCTGGCCTTCACCACCCTGGCCCCCAAAGATACAGCTCCTCATACCACTGGCCTAAGTGTAGACACAGACCTTTCCCTAATTCCTCTCAATACAATGCATAGACATAACAGTCAAGGCTTTGATGACATTGAAGGCAGCGTTGACAAAAGGCAATTGTCCTGGCTACTGGATATGCTCCATGCCCCTGCCAGGGCACCACAGGTGGCATGGGAAATTCGGCTTCTCCATGTGGAAACATCCCTGAAGGAGGGGATGCCACAAGGAGAGAGAAAGTGTCTGCTTTCTAGATCCAGGGTCCCTATGTTATGGGGGGCTCGTAAGTTTGAGCAGAATGGAGGAGACAAGTGTCCATTCTCTGGTTACAGAGGTGCCCTGCTGACAGGAACCAGTAGCGTCCTTCTGCGGGGTCCCCCTGGCAGTGGGAAGACCACAGCTGTCACTGCAGCTTGCAGCCGCCTCGGCCTCCACCTACTGAAGGTGAGGGTACCTGGAGAATTGAACCCCAGCTACACCTCCCAGCCCAGATTCTCTCCTCCTCTCCCCCTCTGGCTACTAGCCTGGCCCTGCTACCTCAGGCAAGTGGGCCAGTAGGTCAGGCATATTCCCAGAATTCTCAGCTACCAAAAGATACTTTCAAAAAGGAAGGGGTTTAAAGATTTGGATGGATAGTCCAGGTTAGGGAAAAGAGGTAGGATTTGAACAGGGTTAATTTCTCCCCTATCTCTACCCTCTAAAAAAATAAGGCCTGCATCTTCTTCTGGCTCCTCTCCCCGCCATTCCCGCCTCAGTCACATGTGCCCTTTGCTCAGACCACTGGGGCCTCCTCCCCAGGTGCCCTGCTCTAGCCTCTGTGCAGACAGTAGCGGGGCTGTGGAGAAAAAACTGCAGGCCACCTTCTCCCGGGCTCGGCGCTGCCGGCCTGTGGTTCTGTTGCTGACAGCCGTGGACCTTCTGGGCCGGAACCGTGATGGGCTAGGTGAGGACGCCCGTGTGGTGGCCACGCTGTGTCACCTCCTCCAGGATGAGGACCCCCTCACCAGGTATGATGCAGAGCTGGGTCTGGAAAAAGGCAGGGCCCAGCCCTCACCCCCTCCAGCCTTTTGTCCTCTCTTCCTCAATAGCTTCTCAGACATCCCACCCATATGTGACAGTCCTGAGCTGAGGAACTTAGGGTATCCAGAGGGAGGGGGATGCAGTCCCTAGTATTTCGTGGGGAGCAGTATATCAAAGAACAAAACACAGCCTCTACCATCAGTGAGTTCCATCTATGAGGGGGGGAAGCACAGGTCCCCCTCTCAAGGTATGCCCATGAAGCTTTGAGGTGCTCACCTCCCTTTCCTATCCCAGCACCCACCCACCCACCTCCATGCCCCGACTGCACCAGCCTCATGACAAGACAGTGCTCAGGGCTGCCAGCCGCTTTCTTGCCCTCAGCACCCTCCCTGTGTCTGCAGCTGCCCGCCCCTGATGGTCGTGGCCACCACCAGCCAGGCCCAGGACCTGCCTGCTGATGTGCAGACAGCGTTTCCTCACGAGCTGGAGGTGCCTGTGTTGTCAGAGGGGCAGCGGCTCAGTGTCCTTCAGGCTCTCACTGCCCACCTCCCCCTTGGCCAAGAGGTGAACCTGACGCAGCTGGCACGGAGGTGTGCGGTGAGTCCCTGGGCAGGGGACGGGCCTCCCCACCTTCTCTGTCATGGGACTACAGTCCCGCTGGTATGGGTAGAAGACCACAAGGCACCAACACTGGGCCTCTGCTACAGCTGGGGGACTGGCCTCCCTGGGACTCCTGGCTACTGAGCTCTGCTCACATACCCTTTCCCGCGGTTCCCCAGGGCTTCGTGGTAGGGGATCTCTATGCCCTTTTGACCCACAGCAGCCGGGTAGCCTGCACCAGGATCAAGAACTCAGGGTAAAGAACCTGGGCATGGGAGGGAAAAGAAGGCAAGAGGAAATACAGTTGGGTGGGAGCTGGTCAAGGGCAGGGGGTGGTGTGGGGTAGGGAGGAACCAGGACCCTGATGGGGAGGATGCCTTTAGGTCAGCTCCTCCAGAGGTCTTCCTGGGTTTCTCTTTACAGTTTGGCAGGTGGCTTGAGTGAGGAGGATGAGGGGGAGCTATGTGCCGCTGGCTTTCCCCTCCTGGCTGAGGATTTTGGGCAGGCACTGGAGCAGTTGCAGACAGCTCACTCCCAGGCCATTGGAGCCCCCAAGGTAGAGACTCAAGGTCCTCGGAGGTAGGACAGGAGCTCTATCCACCACCATGTCCCAACCACACACTTTCCATCTCCTAGATCCCCTCAGTGTCCTGGCATGATGTGGGCGGGCTGCAAGAAGTGAAGAAGGAGATTCTGGAAACCATTCAGCTCCCTCTAGAGCACCCCGAGCTGCTGAGCCTGGGCCTCAGGCGCTCGGGTCTTCTGCTCCATGGTCCCCCTGGCACGGGCAAGACCCTCCTGGCCAAGGCAGTAGCCACCGAATGTAGCCTTACCTTCCTCAGGTGGCAAGGGGGTGTGGAAGGGGTGGTGGGCAGACCGGGAGCTGCCTCAGGCTGGGGAAAGGGCTGACTGAGAAGTCAGTTGTGTGTTCATGCATCTGATGAATCCCATCTTCTCCCTCAGTGTGAAGGGGCCTGAGCTCATCAACATGTATGTAGGCCAGAGTGAGGAGAATGTGCGAGAAGGTGAGTGAGGAAAGGCCAGGCTTCTAGCCCTTCCTAACCCCTGCTGGCCCTTGTGCTGCCTCTATCCTCCAGCAACTCCGGGCCTTTCCAAAGTCTTGTGGTGCTTTCTACAAAGCACCTTCCCAGGGTGGCCTAGTACCTGGAGTGATGAATTGTCACACCTGGCTTTCCCTCCTCCATCACCTGACTTCAGACCCGCCCTTGAGCTTCCCCCTCCTGTGGGTCCCTTTCTCTCCCCAGTGTTTGCCAGAGCCAGAGCCGCGGCTCCGTGCATTATCTTCTTTGATGAACTGGACTCGCTGGCCCCAAGCCGGGGGCGAAATGGAGACTCTGGAGGTGTGATGGACAGGTGGGGGTCTGAGCCAGACTGGAGTCGGGTCCAGCATGGAGGGATTTGACACAGGTAGCAGCAGTCCTCAGAGCCCAGAGTTGCTGCCATTCCAGTTCTGAAATAGTATAACAGAAGAGAATGGGGGCTGTGGACTTGGGTCAGGGACACTGATGAGAACAGGGGGCCTGCGTGGAGGGCTATAGAGGACACAACCAAGCATGTGGCCCTGTGGAGAAAGCTTGCAAGGAAGGGTGCCACAGGCAGGGCAGAGGCTGAGGAAGGGCCAAGGACTCTGGCCTACATGTCCTCATTTGCAGGGTGGTGTCTCAGCTCCTGGCCGAGCTGGATGGGCTTCACAGCACTCAAGATGTGTTTGTGATTGGAGCCACCAACAGACCCGACCTCCTGGACCCTGCCCTTCTGCGGCCTGGCAGGTGTGTACCCCTATTCTCATCTCTACCAGGACCATCTAGGCGTGTCCCTTGACCCCCACCTTTGCCTCCTCCATCTTCATGCTGGGCTCCCTGACATTTACACCTATTTCCCTAAAGATTTGACAAGCTGGTGTTTGTGGGGGTGAGTGAGGATCGCGCCTCCCAGCTACGTGTCCTGAGCGCCATTACACGCAAGTACGCCCTACTAGGGGGAGACTCTCACAGGGCTTGGGCCTTGGGATGTTTAGGGGATAAATGCAATGTGCAGAATAAGCCGGTCAGGGATGCCTTCTGACAGTTAGAGGATGCCAGGTAAGGGACGCCTGGGTGGCTCAGCAGTTGAGCATCTGCCTTTGGCTCAGGCCATGATCCTGGGGTCCTGGGATTGAGTCCGCATTGGGCTCCCTGCAGGGAGCCCGCTTCTCCCTCTGCCTGTGTCTCTGCCTCTCTCTGCGTCTCTCAAGAATAAATAAATCTAAAAAAAAAAGAGGATGCCAGGTAAAACCTCTATCTGCATAACAGGTTCAAGCTAGAGCCCTCTGTGAGCTTGGTGAACGTGCTGGATCGCTGTCCTCCCCAGCTGACGGGCGCAGACCTCTATTCTCTCTGCTCCGATGCCATGACAACTGCCCTCAAACGCAGGGTTCGGGACCTGGAGGAAGGTGAGCTACCTGCCAGCCCCATAGGCCAATTTGGGGGCCTCTGGGCAAGAAGATGATGCCCACTCCAGGGCTCTCCCCTCCTCGGACACAGGCCACAGCCTTTGTTGCTCCCTTGTCACCCTCCCCCCCCACCAGGGCTGGAGCCCGGGAGTTCAACACTGCTACTCACCATGGACGACCTACTGCAGGCCGCTGCCCGGCTGCAGCCCTCAGTCAGTGAGCAGGAACTGCTCCGCTACAAGCGCATCCAGCGCAAGTTTGCCGCCTGCTAGGAGCCTCCTACCATCTGGGACCCTGCCCGCAAGGGCTGAAGGTACTTAGGTGTCCCCACAGAGACCTGAGAGAGCAAAGGGCTCCTCAGCAAGCTGTGGTTGCACCCAAAGGCTGCCTACCTCCAGGAGATCCCCTACATGCCGAGGAGCCCCATGGGGACTCAGAGGGCATCATCCCCTGCCTAGCTGTCCTTCTAGGCCAGCTCCAGCCCCAAGACTAAAGACCTCTGTTCAGGAGGAGGAGCTTGGCCAGAGGGAGCCTCAGTCTTGGCTGAAAATAAAGTGGATGCTGCCCCCTGCTGGTTGTGATCTGAAAGATTGGAGTGTGAAAAGAGCTAGTTTGTGGAAGGACAAAGCCCCAGGGGAGGGCCAGGGAGGGGACGGTGGCGGGAGCTTGATCCTTCCCATATAAACACAAAACATGCAGAACTGAAAAAGGCACAGACTATATTGCTAATACTTCCATTTGCCCGAACCCAAATCCTGCACCCACAACAGCAGTCTTGCCCCTCCCAGCACCCCAGGATCTGCAGGGCTGGGGCTGGGCCGGGTATGGGACTGCTAGTCCCCACCTCCCCAGAGAGATCTGGCTGGCCATGTTGGGCGGAGGGTTGTAGGAGCTGAGGCCAGGTTCAGTGCTCAGTCCGTCCTCTTGAGCACATGGATAAAATAGCAAGGAATGGAGGCCTGGCCCGGCTTGTAAGGCTTGAAGTCACCCAGGACGCTGTGCTGGCACTTGCCCCCAAAGGCTGCTCGTAGCAACTCCGTGAAGGAAGCCAAACGGTGCGGGTAGTAGGACAGCCGGAACTTACTGCAACAGAGCCCCCAAGCAACCATGAGGACTGGTGGCCTCCGCACCACCCCCCTTCACCCGCTGCCAAGCCCAGTGGGTACCTCAAGCCAGGAGAACCATCCTGACCAGCCCCTGGCACCTGCACTGTATAGTCCAGGGTCACCATGTGGGCCTTGTTGTTCACTGTCAGCACTGATGTGGTGATGTCCTTGGTCAAGTCGCTCTGTAGGTAGTGGTGCAGGGTGCATTAGCCTTGGCAACCACTGCAGGGCTGGACCCCAGGATCACATCCCCCATTCTGGGCTTCTCATCCCACCCCCAGGGCCCTCACCTTATAGTAGATGTTCTTTCCTGGGGGTGCACAGCCTGTGCTGAGGATGTGGTCGTAGTTGCGATGGTCAATGACCAGCAGGCCCCCTGACCGCACCATGCTCGCGATGTTCTTCAGTGCCAGCCGGTGCTCACTCTGATCTCCTGAGCTCCAGGCAAGGGCAGAGAGGCTGCGTCCGCTCAGGGCCCCAAGCACCAGTCTCCCTCCCAGTTTTTTCCTCCCCAGGGATACAGACGACAAGTCAGGGAGGAGCAGAAAACAGTCTGCTCTGGCCAGGATAGCAGGCACCCAGGGGTCTGTGAAAAGAGGTATAGCTCAAAGGGCCAGGCTCCAGGGTACACCCTGTCTCACCTTTGCAGTCTGGCAAGTGGGCAAAGCTGTTTCCAAGGCAGATGACAGCATCGAAGGCACCCCCTGGTGGCTGGGGCACATCTTTGTCCAGAGTCATCCAGTTGGCTTCTTCAATGACTGGGACCAGGAAGGGGAAGGAGAGCTCGAGGTGGCATGGAGGCACCAGCAGTACCCCTCTCCATCGAGTGCAGCCCTGCCTCAGTTTCCTCTTCAAGACACATGGGGATTCCCCATCCAGTTAGGAGGAGGGGATTATTATGGATATGGAAGGTGAAGGGGAGGGAGGGGTCAAGGGGGCGGGGAGGAAGCTGTGATGGGAAGAATGGCTCTGTGCTTACTGGGTTTTATTTGGGAGAAGACACTTCTAATCAAAACTAGCCCCTCATTACCAGATACCTCATTCTAGTGCCTAAGCCTCCCTTTCTGGGGAAATGAAAGTAATTATGCTGTCCCCTTCAGGAAAACAAACACCCGAATTTGCACAGGAATTAAAAGAGCCCAGGGCAGAGAGCACTGGGCCCTGGGGTGCCGGGCGGGGAAGGCCTGCCTGGACGTGCGTACCCCACTTGTCGAAGGCTGGCTCGTGCCGCCGGTTCCAGCGCTCTTTAAGTGCATACTTCAGCATCTTGTCACTGGCATCCACACTGGTCACGCTGAAGCCCTCTTCCACCAGCATGATGGAGTCCACCCTGGGCAGGGCCAGAGGGGAGAGAGGCAGGGAGGGGCAGTCAAGGGGCCTGGGGAAGGCAAGGAGGAGGCCCTGTGCTGGACCCTTCTCCACTCTTGGCTCCATTCCTCTTCTTCCTCTCCCCAGGCCCTCTCCACTGATCTCAAATGACCTGGCAAATGGGTTCCCTATCACCAGGTAGCAACTTTGGGGTTTTGTTAGCATCCCTTCAGAGCCAGGCACTCTGTCATTGTGCATTAATCCTCACGGCAACCCTGTGAGGTACATGGTGTTACCCTCACTTGAGAGATGAGGCAAACTGAGGTCCCTGGAATTTAGGAACCGGGGCACGCGGAAGTAGTACAGCATCTCTTCTCCACTAGGTATAGGGGCCTTCACCCCTCTGGGGCAGGATTTCAACGACTCTAAATGGGACATCACTGCATACATCTTGAGGTTTTCTGGAGACCTTAAAAATGGATGTATCCAAAGCTCCTGGCACAGCGCGTGGCACGGCCAAGTATCGAACGAATTGTTAACTGTTAACACTGCCCAAGGCCACGACTCGGGAGCTGTGCCAGAGCCAGCACCCAGGAGAGCTTACGTCGGTCCGGTCCCAAAGCCAAGGCGCCGCCGCGCCGCCGGGAGGATCCGGCCGTCGGCATCCCGAGTCCCCACCTCGCACCCTGGGTGTCGCCAGCCCCTCCTCCCGGCCGGCACCCCCCACCCCCAGGGCCCCGGCCCGCGCTCACCCGGTGCCGCAGGCCACGTCGAGCACCCGTTGGCAGCCGTGCTGGCGCAGCAGCCCGAGCAGCCAGGCCTTGTACTCGGCCGTGCGGCTGCGGGTGTCCCCGATGTAGAGCTGCCACACGCGCGCCGCCTCCCCGTCCGCGTACTGGTCCGGGAGCCCCTCGGCCGCCACCCCCAGGGAGCGGGTGCGGTACACGCTGTCCACCATCCTGCGGCGCGCCTGGCTCCGCGGCCGCCCGCCCCGCACTTATAGCGCGGCCCGCCCGAGGCCGGCGCCCCACCTGCCCAATGGCAGGTGAGCGCGGGGACACGCCCCTGCCGGGCTGCGGCCTCGGGGCGGGGGGCGCTGCGGGGAGGTCTGAATAGGCCCTTCTCGCCCGCGGGAAGATCCAGCCCTCCGGGCGACCACCCGGCGGCAAAGGGCCCTCCCTGCCCCACCCACTGAAGCCAGGGCCCCGCAGGACCGGGAGGGGCCCGCCGCGGCGTGTGTATGGGGGGGGGGAGCAGTGAGGCCGCCCACCCCACCACCGCCACCTAAACTGGAAAGGAAGGAAAGAAAACTTCCCAGTCCACGCCGAGCTCAGCGCTAGGACGGTATTAGCATATCTAAAGGAGGTTTGTCCGGCTGAAGGAGGGCCTGGGAAGGGCGGAAGAGGGCGTATCTGGGGATAAGAATGCTGGAGGGGCCACCCAAGTCCAGGAGCAGTTCTAATCCGGGGGATCGGCTGCCCACCTGGAGGCAGGTGCTCCTCGGGCCTGGAGGTGACGCACTGAGCTTTTCCCTGAGTCTCTAAGGCGACGTCCGACCTTTCCTCCCAATTCTTTACCGACTAGCAATGCTTCTAAGCATTTTGCTGTTTGAGGCCCCTGTTTGAAATCGAGCATCTCCACCAAAAATCAATCAATCTTATTTTTTAAATAAGATTTTATTGGGACGCCTGGGTGGCTCAGTGGTTGAGAGCTTGCCTTTGGCCCAGGGCGTGATCCTGGAGACCCAGGATAGAACATGGAACCTGCTTCTCCCTCTGCCTATGTCTCTGCCTCTCTGTGTGTGTCTCTTATTCATTCAGGAGACACACACAGAGAGAGAGAGAGAGAGAGAGAGGCAGAGACACAGGCAGAGGGAGAAGCAGGCTCCATGCAGGGAGCCCAACGTGGGACTCAATCCCAGGTCTCCAGGATCACACCCTGGGCCGAAGGCAGCGCTAGACCACTGAACTACCCAGGCTGCCCTAAATAAAATCTTAAAAAAAAAAAAAAAAAAAAAAAGCACAACCCTGAGATCATGACCCCAGCCGAAATCAAGAGTCAGGCACTTTCCAACTGAGCCACCTACGCACACCTAAAACTTTTGGTTTCTTTCATTTTTTTAAAATATATATACATTTTTTTAAATTTTTATTTATTTATTTATGATAGTCACAGAGAGAGAGAGAGAGAGAGAGAGAGGCAGAGACACAGGCAGAGGGAGAAGCAGGCTCCATGCACTGGGAGCCCGACGTGGGATTCGATCCAGGGTCTCCAGGATCGCGCCCTGGGCCAAAGGCAGGCACCAAACCGCTGCGCCACCCAGGGATCCCTTTTTTTAAATATTTTATTTAGGGACGCCTGGGTGGCTCAGTGGTTGAGCATCTGCCTTTGGCTCAGGACGTGATCCTAGGATCCAGGATCAAGTCCCACATCTGGCTCCTTGCATGGAGCCTGCTTCTCCCTCTGCCTCTCTTTCTCATCTTTCTGTGTCTCTCATGAATAAATTAAAAAAGATTTTATTCCATTATTTTAGAGAGAGCATGGGAGAGGGCAAGCAGGGGGAGAGGCAGAGGGGCAAGGAGAAGGACAAGCTGTCTCCTCACTGAGGAAGAGCCCTACCCTGCCTCAGGGCTCAGCTAGATCTCACGACCTTGATATTACGACCTTGAGATCACAACCTCAGCCAAAACCAAGAGTTAGCCGCTTAACTGACTGAGTCATCCAGGCGCCCCTAAAAGTTTTAATTTGTAAACATTCTCTGCTTTCTACAGAGATACCCGCAAGATGCCAAGTCCATGGTTGGGGGTGGAAATGCTTGATGCCCTTGCTGCTGTGTTGCACACTTCTACTTCATAAATTGGCTCTTTGGTTTGGTTAGTGTACATCTACCCTTCCTCCCCAAAGCAGAGGTCTCTTCCTTTTTTTTTTTTTTTTTTTTTTAAAGATTTTGTTTATTTATTCATGAGAGACACACAGAGAGGGAGGCAGAGACACAGGCAGAGGGAGAAGCAGGCTCCATGCAGGGAGCCTGAGGTGGGACTTGATCCCAGGAGTCGATCCCGGGGCTCTGGGGTCACACCTGAGCCAAAGGCAAAGGCTCAACTGCTGAGCCACCTACGCGTACCCAGAAGTCTCTTCCTAGGACAAGACCCTGGAATAAGGTGGATTCAGCAATATGCCCCCCAGTGAAGCCCAAGAAAGCGAGAACAGCCTTCCCCACCTATGTTTGTTCTTCTGGCTTTAGAAAGAGCTAAGCATGGAATTTTGAATGAAGGAGGCTCCTCTCTCCTCATCCTTCCATTATCTGTAGAATCTGGGAGCTGGAGGGACCCCAAAGATTATGTAATCATTCTTAACTTCCTATTTTTAGCACACAGACTGCCTCAAATGGGCCTGTCTTCCCCAAGTAATGGAATCTTGTGCTTATGCTGACCCTATAGAGAGGTCCTTGGCAAACTTAAAAGGGACACAGGGGACACCTGGGTGGCTCAGCAGTTGAGCATCTGCCTTTGGCTCAGGGTGTGATCCTGGAGACCCGGGATCGAGTCCCACGTCGGGCTTCCTGCAGGGCGGCTGCTTCTCCCTCTGCCTGTGTCTCTGCCTGTGTCTCTGCCTCTTTCTCTGTATCTCATGAATAAATAAATAAAATCTTTAAAAAAATAAAGGGCACAGTACTGGGAATTATAAATATATAGATAAGTGGCCTAGGGCAAATTATTATTTTTTTCCTATTTCTTTTACATTTACTTTGTCTCTTAACCCCTTCTGAATGCATCTGAGGTAAGCCAGGAATTTTCTAGGGGCTCAAAATGCTATTGGGAGGGGCACCTGGGTGGCTTAGTGGTTGAGTGGCTGCCTTTAACTCAGGTGGTGATCCCGGGGTCCAGGGATGAGTCTCCCATCTGGCTCTCCACAGGGAGCCTGCTTCTCCCTCTGCCTGTGTCTCTGTCTCTCATGAATAAATAAATAAATAAAGTCTTAAAAAAAGAGAGAGAGGGGAATCCCTGGGTGGCGCAGTGGTTTAGCGCCTGCCTTTGGCCCAGGGCACGATCCTGGAGACCCGGGATCGAATCCCACGTCGGGCTCCCGGTGCATGGAGCCTGCTTCTCCCTCTGCCTATATCTCTGCCTCTCTCTCTCACTATGTGCCTATCATAAATAAATAAAAATTTAAAAAAAAGAGAGAGAAAAAAAAATGCTGTTAAGAAACGTCACCTTTAAAAAGACCAGGATGGAAACCTGGGTGGCTCAGTTGGTTAAGCATCTGCCTTTGGCTCAAGTCCCAATCCTGGCATCGGGCTCCAGGCTTAGTGGGGAGTCTGCTTCTCCCTCTTCCCCTTGCTCCTGTGTGTGCTCTCTCACAAAATAAATCTTTTTAAAAAATGAAAAAGAATGGGCAGCCCGGTGGCTCAGTGGTTTAGTGCTGCCTTCGGCCCAGGGCATGGTCCTGGAGACCCGGGATCAAGTCCCACGTTGGGCTCCCTGCATGGAACCTGCTTCTCCCTCTGCCTGTGTCTCTGCCTCTCTCTGTCTCTCTCTGTCTCTCATGAATAAATAAATACAATCTTTAAAAAAAATAGGGGACCCCTGGGTGGCTCAGTTTGAGCATCTGCCTTTGGCTCTGGTTGCGATCCCCATCCCAGGATCGAGTCCCACATCCTCCCACATCCGGCTCCCTGCAGGGAGCCTGCTTCTCCCTCTGTCTCTGTCTCTGTGTCTTTCATGAATAAATAAATAAAATCTTTTTTAAAAAAATTATAAAGAAAAAAACTGGGATAATCCATGTCAACAGGTCATAAGGCTTCTCTGACTCTTTTGATCTCAGCATTTAATTGTTTGTTTGTTTAGAGAGGGATGGAAAAAAAAAAGAGAGGGATGGAAGAGGGGTAGAGGGAGAGAAAGAATCCCAAGCAGGCTCCACACCCATCATGAAGGGCCATGTGGGGCTCTAACATCCCTGAGATCATGACTTGAGGGGAAATCAAGAGTCAGAGGCTTAATCGACTGAGCCACCCAGATGCCAGGAGTCTCAATATTTAAAGACAAGACAATCCCCAGGAACTTTTTCTTGTCCAGAAGAGATTTCAGCTCTTATTTATTTCTTTCCTGTTTTAAAACAAAGGTCTTTGCATTTTTGGCATAATGCACACCTCTGAATGTTCGTACATTCACAACATTGTTGTGATTGGTTTACAGCCATTAGAGGCTAAAAGGCCGTACTCTCCATACTGATAAGGAATTTTATTTAAATATTTGGCTTTTATTTAAATATTCATGCTTATAATTTTTGAGGAAAATATAATTTTATCTACAGAGCCATAATATGATTTTTAAAAATAATATAAATACTGGTGGTAAATTTGGAGTAAAAAAATAGTTTGTGAGTAGCTTGTGAAATGTACTTTCCAACTGTAAGACGAGACATTTGTTCTGAAGTTAATAATTGATTTCTTTCTCATCCAGAGGCATTTAAAAAAATGTTGACACCATAGCACACATGACGTTTCATGGACTTTTTTTCTTCCTTTCTTTCTTTTCTTTTTTACTTTTAACCATCAAAAGCATATTTTCTTCACTTGACCTTAAATTTTTTGGCTTTAATCATGCTTTCTTTTTCTTTTTCCTTTTTTTATTTTTTAAAAAGATTATTTATTTATTTGTTTGTTTATTTATTTATGAGAGAGAGAGAGAGAGGCAGAGACACAGGAGGAGGGAGAAGCAGGCTCCCTGCCGGGAGCCTGACACGGGACTCGATCCTGGGTCTCCAGGATCACGCCCTGGGCCAAAGGCAGGTGCTAAACCACTGAGCCACCCAGGGATCCCAAATAAAATATTTTTAAAAACAAATTCTTCATCCCCAAATGTGGATGTTTGCAAAAAGACTTTAGCTTGGGACTATGGCTGTAGCTGGACATATTCCCAGGCTATTCCAATTTGAGAACACATTAAAATACTAGAATTGTGAAGTATGTATGTTCAGTAACTACAAATG